AGCCTTTGAACGTGTGATGATTGTTGGCGCTCAAGCCATGGAGCGAGTATCAGCAAAACAGCAGAATCCGTTAAATGTTCAAGAGCAGCTGTTGTTAAAGTCTTTAAAGACTGGACTGTCAGCCGAAAATCTGGGTCTGAACGTGCGAATTGTGGCCGTCAGCGACTAGTCAATGTTAGGGCAGAACGGAGAGTGGCAAGACTGGTACAAGACAACAAAAGGGCAACAGTGCAGTGTCAGATTCCTCGCATCACCTTTTAACATCTCGTGGAGTCACGAGGCAGCCCAACAAAGTCATCTTGTGGAGTCATCTCGTGGCCCAACGAAGTACTGATGGGGTGGTCATAATAATCTGGCCACTCAGTGTATATCCTAGCTGAGGCACTCTCTTACAATTGCTGACTTAAAGTGTAGTTCCACTTTTGCAGTCAGATCTGGGAAAACCCCTCTATATGTGTGTTATGTGTTCCCATTCACACAGCATAACGAATAATATTTTTTTATATATATTTCTTACCTCTCAAATATTTTGGTAGCAGCAGGCAACATGGCTGAATACAAGTTTTCCTGAGAATCTTCACATTGATCTGTCCTTATAGAAAGACTTAAGTAGAGTACACACGGTATGGATTTTGGCTGGTTCCTGATGAACCGGCCGAACTTCACACTGTGGATGCCACTGTCAGCATGCTGCCGCCTGTCATCCCTTGATCAGCTGATCTAAGGAGCAGGATGGAAAATTCCTGGCAGAACGGAGCTGGCAGCAAATCTGCTGCTACATGTGTTCGGGTATTCTGGCAGCTGGCCTTTGTTAAGATAGACAGTGTTCACATCTACTTTACAGATTATAATGAACAAACCCTTCACCCCTCACAACCCTTCCTAACATTACAAGGATGGAGAAGCAAGTAGACATTTTAACCCTTAAGAAGCCAAGTAAAAACTTTAACCCAAGTAAAAGCAATGTATACTGTAAGAAGCCTTTTTAAAAAATTTTGAGTTTATACTATGTGAATGGGAAACAAATATAAACTAGGTGTTATCCCAATTTGGCTGCAAAGGTGGAAATAAACTCTAAGCCCTCATTCACACGAGAAAAGGCCGGCATCGGGCAGCTCCCGGGAAGGATAGATGTTTTGCGTGTGATTAGTACGCAGCCTCTGTCCTTCTCTATGGGAGTACGCCGCCCTGCACTCACCCGTCCTGGGTCCTGTCTGTGTCAGAGCCGGGACACCCGCACCCGTACGCACCTGCACTTGGGGTGAGCGTCGGGCGGGTGAGCGGAGGGTACTAATCACACGCAGCACCTGTCCTTCCCCGGAGCTGCCCGATACGGCGGTGCACGCAGCACAGAGCTGTACGTGCTGGCTTTTTCTCGTGTGAATGAGGCCTTAATGAGCTAGGGTGCCTACAAATGTAGACACAATGCAAGCAAGCCAGACAGGGCTGCTCACTCAGTCAGTTGAATGTAATATTGTTGTTTGAAGTCCTTCCTCTTGGTTAGAAGCTGAAAAAAGAATCCACTTTGATTACAAAGCTGGCAGGTCATCTGTGCAGTTGGATGACTTTTGTCCCAAAAGACCAGGCCTCCGGTGAGACCACATCCCAATGACCAATAATGTAATGCAAGTTTCCATTGCTGTTACTTTTTGGTTAAATAAGCATGAAAACCTGCTGAAATCACTGAATTAAGGTAAATTTAATGCATGCATGTAAGTCACAAAATCCACACTGCACAAAAGTTTGTTATAGTTTGCTTTGAAATTGAAAGGTTGGACTCATCTATTTTTCATTCACTCATTTAGAGGGACTGTCCCTCATTTAGAACCAAATCCACCTGTCCCTCTTTCCTCTCAGTTATCCCTCTTTTTGGTCTGATGTACAGAAAAAAAGATAAAGGCAAATACAGTCAAAAATAAATAACATTAATTCATTCATTAATTTAAAAAAAGGTAATGCTTTTTTTAAGGAAAGTGTTCGACAAGCCCACTGAGACATATTAAGAAATAAAGAGAACCAGCATTCAAGGCCAAATTGATGTATTTTTGCTAAATTTTTTATGAACCTTCAGCAACATGCACACAAATAAGTTATTATGAAAAGAGGATGTATTCCTGTGCACATTTGGAAATATTTCCCTGAATACACTACAATATAACGAGCTTATTATTTCAAATGATAGTTATATATTTAAAAGAAGCCAGCATTTACTGCAGTGCTGTAAATTTGGTAATTAACAATTTACAGTTCTGAGCAAGTAACAAAAAGGACCATTTATAAAAGCTTTCAGAGACAGCCAACGAATAGTGTTTCTCTGTGGCCAGACAATAGTGAGCAATGGCAGCAAAAGGCATTAACTGATAAATATCATCAATTATAACTAAAGCCAAAATATAATCACGTAAACACTGCAGTCGCTACACTGACTCAGGGAGTGTAAGGAAAGCGCACTGTTTTGGAATATATGGATATTTTAACATTATTAGTATGCACATCGGTTGCACAGCTAGTCAGGCATAGGTGAACTTAACAAATATTTGTTATCTTCTTCCTGCCAATTCTCACTGAGAAGGCAAAAGGGTCATTGGGTTCCCTATTAGTGCATTAAAATGTTGCTGGCCACCAATGTGGCGCCTGCCTTCTTTCAGAAAGCACCAAGAAACCACAGCCCCAAAATTCAGTAAACTCCAATCAGCAAGTGCATTACCTAAGCAACATTGTGTATTTATTATTATGGTGCAGCATGCATCCATACAGTACGGAGCTGTAGCTAGCTCCTTTTGCGCCCGAGGCAAGTGCTGACCCCCCCCCCCCCCCCCACGGCTGCAGTGCTTCCTTCACTTCTCCTCGGATCCTCGCTGCATACAGATGGGGAGAGCAGCGTGATCCAGAGGAGAAGCTGCTCTGCTCTGTACGTTGCTGAGCGGCAGAGGATCGGTACAGATGTGCCGCCCCCCTTTACCTAAAGGCTGCGCCCCCCCAGCACCTGCGCACGAGGCGAGAGCCACAGTCGCCTCGCCCTCACTACGGCCCTGAATCCATATGCCATCAGCTATGTGGCCATTTCCTGCACTTCCTGCTGCATTCGGTGGTTCCTTCAGCCATCTTCCATATCATTACATGATTCGTGCTTTTTAAAATGGGGGTTACAGGTCCTGGAAATGTCACTGTCAACTGTTTGTGCATTTTAAAGTATGGTCTACACGGGTAGATTTTCGAACGTCGGAATGTTAGATAATATCATCAGAGACTTGGCAATCATCGTTTGAAATTTCATTTGATTCTCTTTTTTTATTTCACATTCGATTTTGGAATGAATTAAGTTTCTCATATGAAAATCACATTCACTGTGAATTTTGTTTGATGGAGAAAATTTTTCCAACATGCTCCTTCGAATTTTTTTATTACTGCGGTCAAAATCAATCATCGTTTTCACCCCATCAATGATTAGAAAGTCGACCGAATGTTCCGTAACCAATTTCATTCGATTCAAAACTCGAACCGTGTATACCTTACTTAAAGTGACACTAAACTCAGAAGTTAAATCCTAAAAATACATTTAAGTACCTTAACTATTAATAATACTGTATCCTATTTGTGTATCACTCAGCTGTAGATCCTCAAATCATCTCTGAATTGGTGCTGACACTGTCTTTCCTTCTGCAGGGTGGCCCAAGAAAGAAAAGCATTTTAAACTAAGTATTCATCCAGGGGTGCAGCCCTTTCATCGCAAGAACAAAGCTTCTTACTGAGACACAAAATGGCTACCAGAGCCTTCAGTCAATGAAGCTTCCAGTCCATGTTGTGGCTCTCAATCTTTCCATCTAACCTTGTTTAACAAGCAAATCACTAGGGTAACAGCCAGGGACGTGACCATCCCAAAATGGCAACAGAAATTATATCTGTTTTGCTATGTTTGGTAGGCCACTGAGGAACCGAATCCTGCCCTGGAAACAAAACGCAGTTCTTTAAAAGCAATGATATAACAACAAAGAAATGACATGCAGATATGCATAAAGAACTCCGGTCAAAAACTTTATTACTCCTTGCAGTGGGGCTACCCCCACACTGCAAGGGTTGACTGCTAATTTTTGCCCAGAAAAAAGTAATACTCACCCAATCCTTGGAGCCAGCAGCATTCCCTCCAGACTCTCTCCTCCACTGCAGCAACGGTAATTCCTATGGTGTCCTCACGTCCTATACACTGTGTATTGGACATGATGACTCAAGTATTTCTAGACCACTGCAAAGGAGGGGGAGAGACACTCCAAGGACCGGTCTAAGAGCAAGCCAGCTCAGAGGATCAGGTGAGTATAAAAATGACAAAAATGAGCAGTGAACCCTTACAGTGAGATGGTAGCCCCACTGCATGGGTTAATAAAAATTTCCCCTGGTGTTCTTTTTTTAATGCAAAATAACAGATCACAATGTCAAGACTAAAAACTATTGTTCATATTAAATATAGGAGCACAGAGAATGAGGATGATGTCAATCAAGCAAAACCACACGTCATATCTCCACCGAACATGAAACTTTATTACACTATCATCCCCGTCCTGGAGCGCTCACTAATGCGTTTCACCTGTTTGGGCTTAATTGGGGTTTGTAGTGTGACTGTGATGTAAAAATACAAATAAAGTTTCATGCTCATCGGAGATAAAGTTCGGAGTGCAGTTTTTTTTTTGTTTTTTTTTGAGGTGAGGAAAAAGCATGGATGAGCTCAGTACCTGCAACTGCAAAACTCCAAGAGAGAGGACTTGGTGTGGGAATTGGAGCAGTGGTGTGCTCATTCAATGATGGTGAAGTGCTATGTGCAGCAACCCATGGCAAACAAAAAGATTTCATCTTTCATTCGTTTGAAGCAATCAAAAGATGAGCACTGATCAATTTTTATGGATTACCACAATGTGTACATTGCTATTCGCCTTATTAGACAAGCCCTTATGATACCATATTCCTTTTCATTCAGATATTTTAAGTTCAAGTCTGTTACTACTTACATTTGAGAGTTCATAGTAGGCAGGTCCCAAAGTATTGTCCATGGCAGGTGGACTTTGTCTGACAAGTGCGCCATCTGCAGTCTCTTCAAAGCCAAAGGCTTGCCCTGGTGTGGGGATGGATGGGGCGCCACTGTTCCTCGGCTTTTTAGAATGGCTGGGAACTCTCTGTATGAAATATAACAGACTTAATACATATTTAAACTTTGCAGTCCTGTATCCTACCCCATCTGGACTTCAATTAAAAGACACATTATCTGACAAAAGGTAATATCGGCATTAATTATGACATCACTCGTAAGCCTCAGGAGATAGTACCTTCCCAGTAACTAACAGAAACTGACAAGGCTTGATCCAAAGTCACAAATACAAGAATGCCAACTAATGTGCCGTAATAGAGTGTGGAAGTGTAAGAACCGTTGGCAGGTACTCATTGACAAAATGACAGTGACTCTATAAAGCTGAACTCCTGGAAAACGTTTTTTTCTAACAGCACAAGTCAAATAAGTGATCTCTAATAATGACTACACTACGTGTGGATGGCTATGTGTTACTGTGCAAATCATACTTTGATTGAAGCCAGATACTAGAGACATTGCTATACTACCAGCACTGCAGGGATGAAGAGCTGCAGCTGTGGCAGTGAAGGTCTCCAGTGGTATACCCACCCTCTCCTCATCTCTCGTCCAGTCACAAAAAGCCTTTTATTTTTCTCAGAATCCAAGGCGTTCTGTGAATGGACACGAGCGGATCTAGTGATATACCCTCCCCTTGTCCATTCACAGAACGCCTTATATAAAAAGCTACAAAGCCACCTTCCATTTTATTGCTAATGGCTGACTTGAAGGTGCAACTGAAGCCAAAACATTTTTGTAGTTTTGGATAGAGTTGAGAAGGATTAGAACACCTGTCAGGTTTGTTTGTATTGCTGTCCGTGTCCTCATTAGGGAGATTTACCCTCTCCATTTGTCTTAGTGACTGTTAATATTGAAAATGAGAGTGAAAGAAAATCCCAAAGTTTGGGCTGTCATCAGAACAGGAACCGCTTGGAGACGTGACTACTTTACAAAACACACAGGGACCATGGGAAGAAAAGTAGCCACCCTCCAGAAGAAAGGACAGTGTCAGCCCCAATTCAGAGATGATTTGAGGATCTACAGCTGAGTGATACACAAATAAGATCCATTTTTGTTAATACTTAGGGTACTGGAATGTATTTTTAAGATTTAACTCCTGATTTTAGTGTCACTTTAACTGCAGTAGAGAAAAAAATATGTCTCCAGGCTAGCTGTGCTGTGTGGCACGGCTAATCCATTGACAGATAGAACACCTCTCATACATTACAGGTGAAACTCGAATAATTAGAATATCGTGCAAAAGTAATTGCAGTAAGTGCTGCAAAAGGGGCCCAAACCAAGTACTGAGTACATATGCATGCTTGTACTTTTCAGAGGCCCGATATTGTTCTATGTACAATCCTTGTTTTATTGATTGCATGTAATAATCTACTTTTTTGAGGTTGTGGATTTGGGGTTCTTGGGGTTTTCATGAGCTGTAAGCCATAATCATCACAATTATGACAAATCACGGCTTGAATTATCTTGCTTTGCATGTAATGAGTCTCTCTCATATATTAGTTTCACCTTTTAAGTCGCATTAGTGAAATAAATGAACTTTGCACGATATTCTAATTATTCGACTTTCACCTGTATATGTATTTTATCTGTGTATTTCAGTGGTTTGCCTGGAGTTCAGCTTTCATCCAACAATTTTTTTCACCTGTGTGGTAAAAATGGCAACAGTTCCCCAAGGGGTTTTCTCTTGCCTTGTTCTGAACCCAAATTACAGGGGCTGTGAGACACTGAACTTCCCATCAGTCTATTTTCAGCCCTATACGACATGTAACTATTAATTTTGGATGACTCCTTGACACTGTAAGTAAGGTGAACAATGTTTAATGCACGCATAACACAATTCAGACAATGATCTTTCTTGTGCAACCCCTTAGGTAGGTACAACTCATAAAACAGAGCCATATTTACTTTTACAGATGTTGAAGATGTCTTCTTTCTTTCATCCATATCCAGCCCAACCTGCAGATCATAAGCACCGGGTCCAGGCGAAGGGAATGTAGTCTCTTGAAAACGCTTCTCTTTGTTCTGAACAGTTTGTCCTCCTTTCACCTTTTCCTGCAAAAAGTTACCCATAGCTGCTGTATTATAATGCAGCTGTAACAGCTGCATGAAGGCATCCAAATGAATCTAGAAATTTCATAGCAAGATGCAACCAAGCTTGTAATTGTTAAAATAAATTTGCTACCCAATATAATAGTATGAAACACGTTGAAGAGCTTGCTACTAGACTAATAGCCTCATTTGTAACTGTAATAACTACAATAAATGTAAATATTCCCATGCAAATATTTTTTTTCTGGTTAAAAGAAGCTATAATAGCACAGTCTAATAGTGTTACATATATCAATATGCAAAGTTGGACTGCTGATTTTTCAAGGGAAACATTTTACTTTACCATCAAAGCAAAAGGTTTCCAAAATGTATATAAGTTAATGTAGAAACTGGGAGGTGCAAAGTGCAATGATGTTATTTCAAATGTAAAAGCCTCTGAAACTGTGTTTCAATTTGCTATAGACAGACAGGTGAATTCTTACTAGATGCAATCTAATTATTTATTTTGTTACCTTCCTATTCGTCTTATTAAGTCCAAGTGTACAGGTGAAACTCAAATAATTAGAATATCGTGCAAAAGTAATTGCAGTAAGTGCTGCAAAAGGGGCCCAAACCAAGTACTGAGTACATATGCATGCTTGTACTTTTCAGAGGTCCGATATTGTTCTATGTACAATCCTTGTTTTATTGATTGCATGTAATAATCTACTTTTTTGAGGTTGTGGATTTGGGGTTTTCGGGGTTTTGATGAGCTGTAAGCCATAATCATCACAATTATGACAAATCACGGCTTGAATTATCTTGCTTTGCATGTAATGAGTCTATCTCATATATTAGTTTCACCTTTTAAGTTGCATTAGTGAAATAAATGAACTTTGCACGATATTCTAATTATTCGAG